AGGCATTTAGCTCTTGGTTTCAGCTGAGGTCATGATCTCAGGGTCCTGAGACTGAGCCCCAGTGTGCCCAAGTCTGCTTGGGATTCTTGGGATTCTGCTTGGAATTCCCCCTTTTTTCCCTCCCCCTTTGCTCCTCCCCCTGCTTAAGCCTCTCTAAATTAATAAATAAACTGGGGCACCTGGGTGGCTCAGGTCATGATCGCAGGGTCCTGGGATCGAGCCCCGCATCTGGCTCCCTGCTTGGAGGGAAGCCTGCTTCTCCCTCTCCCACTAACCTTGCTTGTGTTCCCTCTCTCTGTCGAATAAATAAACAAAATCTTTAAAAAGTAATAATAAAGTAAGTAAATAAAAATCTTCCTATCAAGAAAATTTCAGGCCCAGACACCTTCACCAGCAAATTCTTCCAAATTTAAGGAAAACCTTTAGTCTTATATGTAGTGAAGAGTAAAACACAGTGAACTCCCAACTCATTTTATGAGGCTGATATAAGCCTGATGAGAAAACAAAGACATTAAAGAAAAGAAAATTATGGGCCAGTATTTCTCATGAACATACACGCAGAAATCCTATAAAATATCAGATCTAACCCAGTCAAATTCTTGAAAAGTTTAATACGTTACAGACAAGTAGGTTTTACTTCAGGAATGAAAGAATGGTTCAAGATATGAAACTTAAGATAATTTACCACATTGATGATAACAGTAAAAAAAAATATCATCAAGAAAATGCATTTGCCAAATTCAGCCCTCATTAATGTAAAAATCTTAGCAAACGAGAAAGAGAACTTCCTCAGCTTGATAAATAGCATATACAGTGGGTCTTTTGTAGATGCTAGATACAAGGACAATATACAAAAAAATAACCATACTTCTAGCAACAGACAACTGGAAAATGAAAGAAAAATTTAAAAACCATGTACAATTTCAACAAAAAATGTCAAATACCCAGGTACAAATCTAACAAAAGATGTGCACGAAAAACTACAACAAACCATTGAGAGAAATTAAAGACCTTAACAAATGTAGACATACACCATATTTATTAATTGGAAGATTCAATATTGATAGGATGGCAGTTCTCCCCAATTCAACATAAAGAATCACACACAAAACCCCAAAAAGGATTTTTCATTTTTTGTGAGAATTAACAAGTTGATTCTTTTTTTTTTTTTTTTAAGATTTTATTTATTTATTTGACATAGAGAGACACAGCAATAGAGGGAACCCAAGCAGGGGGAGTGGGAGAGAGAGAAGCAGGCTTCCTTCCAAGCAGGGAGCAAGATGTGGGGCTTGATCCCAGGAACCTGGGATCATGACCTGAGCCGAAGGCAGCCGCTTAGTGACGGAGCCACCCAGACACCCCAACAAGTTGATTCGGACATCCCTTAAAAGGACTTACAAAAGCCAACATGGTCTTGAAAAAGAAAAGGAAAAAAGTTGAAGGACTAATACTATAGATCTCAAGACAGTGCCACTGACAAAAGATAATAAAATAGAATATAGCACAGAAAGAGGGCCGCATATATGTCACCTGACTTACAATAAAAGCCTCCCATATTTCAGATGGCCAAGGACGGTGTTTTCAATAATACCATACACAAAAACTGATTCAAGGTGGACCACAGACTTAAATATGAATGCCACATCGATAAAGCTTCTAAAAGAAAATAGAATATCTTCAGGAACTTGGAAATAAAGATTTCTTTTTAAGATACAAAAAAAAAAAAGCACTAATCACAAAGGACAAAGGGTTAAAAACCTTCTAGGAAAATGAAAATGGGAAAAGATACACATAAGCATAAGAAAGTACTCAAAAATGATGCCATGTTAAAAGGACACAGGAGCTAATTTGAAGGAGTTCCTAATGGCCAAATCTGGGACAATTTGAACAACAAAATATATAACAGTAATAATGGGTTAAAACTCACAGAGTACAATAAATACCCAGGAGTTAATAAATAGTTGAATAAACACACAAGGAATAAAGGATAGCGCTTTATAGAATTTAAATTAATAAATATAGAAAGAATGATGAAAAGAGAAGATCACCACTAGATAAACATCACAGTAATAATTGTTACAGACAAGAATGATCAATGGATGGTAAAATTAATGGGTGAAAGTTTGATGAGAAAAGTATTTTGTTTTAAAGTTTATTTAAGTAATCTCTATACCCTGAACATGGGGCTCAAACTCATGATCCCAAGATCAAGAGTCACATGTTCTTCTGACTCAGCCATCCAGAAACCCCCATGAGAACAGTATTTTTGCATAGTCTCAAAGCATCTCTGCACAAGATACTTACTAATTAAAAAGAGAAAAATGGTAGTTTTACCTCAACCAAGTGATCATAGTTAACCTACCAGTAAGAAATATATTGATAACATTATATAACACACTGAGAAGAATGGAAACATAATTTCTGTGATCTTTTAGCCAAAAAAGTCTGGCCTAAATTTAACTTTGAGGAAAAAGCAGACAAATCTAAATTGAAAGACATTCTACAAAATAACTGGCCAGTACTCTTCAGAAGTATCAAGGTCATGAAAGATAAAACACACTAAAGAACTATGTCTGATAGGAAGAGATCAGACAATTAAATCAATGTGGGAATCTGCTGTTGGATCCTGGAAAAGAAGAGGTTGCTGAGAAGATAATTAGCAAAATTTCGATAAGGTCTGTAAATTAGTCAAAAGTCTTATATCCATGTGAATTTTCCAATTTTCATCATTGTACCAAGGGCACCTGAGTGACGAATATATAGGAATTCTTTATACTATACTTTTAATATGAAAATAAAGTTTTTTAAATGAAGAAAAAAATTTTTAAAGGACAGTGGACAAAAAGACCTAAACAGACACTTTAAGAAACAGGATATCCAAATGGCCAATAAACCTCTGAAAAGGTGCTGAACATCATTACCCATCAGGAAACGCAAATTAAGAGTGCAATGAAATTCCACTATACAACCACCAGAATAGTTAAAATAAAAGACTGACAATATCAAACAGAGATGATGAGGAGCAGCTGAAACTCTCATATATTGCTGGATGAATTGGTACAACCACATGACAGATTGGTAGTATCTATTAAATATATGCCCACGGTATGACCTAGCAATTCCACTCCTAAGTATTTAGCCAAGAGAAAAGTGTTTACATGTTCACCAAAAACATAAAATGTTCATAGCAGCAATACAGTCTGTAATAGCCAAAAACTGTTAACCATCATGTGTCCATCATAGTGGACATAGTGTAAGCAATTAATAATTTACAATATATCCCCATATGTAATGAGAACTAAGTATAACACCCAACAACATGGATGAATCTCAGACATAAAGTGGAAGAAAAGAAACCAGGCATAAAAGAGCACATGCTATACAATTCCATTTATATAGAAGTTCAGGATGGGTAATTGATGGTGACTTCTGAACAGGGATTGTGGGAGAAATAACTGGGAAGGGGCATGAGGTAATCTTCTCGGGTGCTGGCAAAGTTCTTAATGTTCATTTAGGAAATTGTGATAGAGCTCTATTCTTAAGATTTGTGTACTTTATATATGCTATATCTCATAAAGTGTTTTTAAAAAACTATCAGAGCCATGTTTTGTTAGGGACATGGAGCAATGAGATGTTTCAAACATTGCTGTGCAAGCATAAATTTGTGCACCCATTTAGGTAATCATTTTGGTACTATTTAGTAAAGTGCAAGATGTCATATGACCCAGAAATTCCATTGTCAGGTAGATGAATTCATGCACATGTATCATCTGTAAAAGAATGCTGTGGCAGCACTGTTTATAAAGTCAGAAACTAGAAATAGCTCAAACACCTATGGTTAGTTGAAGGGATAACTGGTATACTTCGAAGGACAGAATATAATATAGCAAAGAAAACAAATGAACAACTACTATATATGATAATTCCCGAAAACATAGTTCTACAAATAAAAACAAAAGAAAAAAGACAATATGATAGCATTTGTGAAAGTTTTAAAGAGGGAAAACTACAGTATGATACTTACGTAGACCACTAAATGAAAAAAACTCATACGTTTATCCAGTCACCCAATCATAATCACACGACCACCAAGGGGACATAGAGCTAGAGGTAACCCACTACCAAAGCAACAGGACCACACACCCAGGGCCTCAAATGGTCACATGAGCACGATCACACATTTACCAAGAGGACATTCAGTCACAACCGCACTGCCACAAGCACATGACACCTGCAAATCGTCGCACAGTCACAATCACATTAACCACAGATAAAACCACATAGTATTCACGGGTACCCCCACCTGTAATCTGCAGCACACCGTCGATGTCGCATGATCGCACACCCTTACGGGAACAAACGCTGTATCACATCCACCGAGTCACACACACTCCCCACAACCTCATACACAATGCCGCACGTGGTCCCAAATCACACACACACACCACCGGGTCCCCTCCAATCATACCAGCACAGTCACGGGCTCCCAGACTGGGCTGCACACTGGTAATCACTGGAAGCACACACTCACCATAGGAACAGATAGTCACAACCATACGATCATTCACCACATACCACCAGATACAATCCTACAATTTCAATCTAACTTACCCCGCAGTACAAAGCTGAGCCTCCCGCTCCGCCCTCTCCTGCGGATCCTCACCTCAGGCCTTCCAAGCTTCCAAAAAGAGCAGCACGCCCCACAGTGCTGCAACAGTTGCAGACCTGTGGGTCCAGCCAGCGCGTGACTTGCAGGCTGAATTCACGCGAGAATCGCAATGACGCTGAAGCGTCTTCTGGGAAATGTAGTCAGAAAGTTACCTGTGGCGAGCAACATGGCTCCCGGTCGCCTGGTTTTCTATCAGGAGTTAGCTGCAGCCCCGCTTGCTTAAAGGATTCACCCCCTCATGGAACCGCGCACCGGAGGCCACGCAGAGCCTGGTTCAGCTTTAGGCAGTGGCTTCCAAGGAAGGCCACTCCGACGTGTTTGAAATCGGGCTCCTTCTCCGACCCACCGTAATATCCCCAGGATACGGGCTCAGGAAGAGGAGGGCTAGTTTGGTTTAGGTAAGAGAACGCGCTTCATTGAGCCTTCTGGGAAATGTAGTTCGGAGCGGAGAAAGCGTTGGATGGGCGGTTTGAAATTCATCTGGATTCTTCACAGCTTGTGCCTGGCTGCACCCCCAAGAGACTCCAGGGAGTGTCTCTGCGTCCAAAGAGTGCGCAGGCGGCCTGGGTCGCCTTTTTGGCCTTTGTTGGGGCGTGAGTTCGGCTTGCGGTTTCTCAGCGCGGAGGAGTTGTGGGACCGGAGCTTCGGAGACTGAAAGCTGGGGTGGCCGAAAAGAAGGCGATTAGAAACTTACGGTGGGATTGGGGAGGAGAGGGCGGGACTGCTAAACTTGAAACGGGGCTGTGGAGGCCAGAAGGGAGAGGTTTCCGAGGATGCGAAGAGGGCTGTTATTTTTCTGTGCTACTAATTTCTGTATGAAAGTCAGGGCCTGAGGACAATGTTGGGGCGATGAGACAGCCTTTGCAGGAAGCAAGTAGTGAGATTCACGGTGTGTGTGATTTAGAATGTTGCGGGTCGTAGAAAGAGGGAGAAACGGGACGAGAGAGAAAGAGGGAGGGAGGGAGGGAGGGAGGGAGAGAGAGAGAGAGAGAGAATGTAATGGGTTATTTAAATAAGTGTCACTGTACGTATGACTGGGATGGTATCTTGGAGAGTAATCGCTGAGCCACAATGGTAAAACAGTAATAAGGATAGATTTTCCTAGGACATTTTTTTTTTTTAAATTTGATGGGAGAAAGTTTACATAATTGAGCTAAAGCTTGACTTTTGTGTAAAAACAATAGCATTATTGTAATAATGTATTGTCATTATTGTAATAAACTAGCATTTTTATGGAATTGAAATAAAGATAGCATTGTTTTTTTAAAAGAGAAAGTCTTGTTTGAAAGGAACTTTTTTTTTCTTTTTTAATGGGGTGCTTGCTCTTGCTTAGAGTACAGACCTTAGAGACAAAGCAATTCAGGTTTTTGTGTTCTTTTGAGCGTCCTGAGGGAGGGGTGTAGGTCTAAGCGAGCTGAGTTGTGAATTTCTGGACTAAGGAGTCAAGTGGGAAGGGTAGTGTCGACCACAGCAAATAGCAGAGAGGTGAATTCCCATTTTCTTAAGAAAAAACTGGTCTTAGATCAAGGAATGTAAGTTTAAAGTTTCTCAAGGAGCCTGCTCAGTTAAACTAATAATTACCTCTGGTTACCCCTCGGCCAGGTGGATTTTGTTGGTTATAAAAATAGGTTGCTCCTAATTGCAAAGGTGCTTTCTCCAAGTAATTTACTACAGTTGCTTTTAACATAGTTTTATTATATTTTATTTTTTTGAAGATTTTGTTTTTAAGTGATCTACACCCATCGTGAGGCCTGAACTCAAAACCCAGAGGTCAAGAATCACATATTCCACTGACTAAGCCAGGCAGGTGCCCAACATAATTTTAAATAAAAGGAGAAAGTCTAAAATTCATGTAAGTAAGTTTTATATATATAGACAAAACCTTGGAATAGGATAAAATTCTTCAGGATAATCATAGCAAGAAATAAATGAAACCTATTTAAATAAAAATTTAAAACCTTATGAAGATAAAGACTTAAATGAAAAGTTATACCATTTTCTTGAATAGAAATCCTTTGTTATAAATGTCATTTAAATTAATTTATGAATTTAACCTCCCACTGAAAATAATATCTTTCTCTAGATAGGTAAATTTCAAATTGGGGAGTGCCTGGCTGGCTCAGTCGGAAGAGCATATGACTCTTGATTTTGGGGTCATGAGTTGAAGCCAACATTGAGTGTAGAGATTACTTAAATATTTTTTTAAGAAGTAAAGTTCAAATGTGAAAATAAAGGCAAGAATAGGCTGGAAGGAAAAAAAAGCAATGTGGGGCACATGGGGCTAATCTTATGATAAAACATATTGTAAAAATTCAAAAATTTAAATAATATGGGTTTGTCATCTGACTGGTCAGACCAGTGGGACAGAATAGAGAATCCAAAAATAGAACCAAATAAAAAATTTTAGTGTATGGTGAACGGGGCAGCTCAGATACCCCCTCAGGTGATTGGGGAAAAGGTGAATTTTTCAATAAAGGTAATAGGAACAACCTGATAGACTTTCTAGGAAAAAGAGAGTGGATTATGCCATGTACTGAATGCAGAGTTAACTCCAAATGGGTCAAAATTCAAAACTGAAAACTTAAATTACAAAGACTGAAAACTTGAGTGAATTACTTTATAACCATGGAGGGAAGAAGGCCTTTCTTACTTCAAATTCTAAAAATCAAAACATAAAAGATTAATTATCCCTTCTAGATGAAAAAAAAAAAAAAGTTAAAGTGACAAACTGGAAACATTTGCATTTTATGTAGCAAACAAATGGCTAACCTCCCTGATAAATAAGGAGAACCAAAAAAAAAAATTGATTGAAAGACTAATAACCCAGTAAGAATGGAAACAGAGATTAACAAATAGTATACAGAACATAGTCTATAGGTTCTCAAATGTATGAAAGTATGCTCAACCTCATTCATAATCAGATAAATTCCATTAAAACGGTATAGAGATACTGATTCTTACAGACTAGAGTGGCAAAAACTCCCCCAGTTTGAAAACCTATATTGCTAGAGGCCTGCAGATTGGTACAAACTTTTTGGAAGGCAATTTGGCAACATCTTTCAAAATCCCAATTGCATTTAACTTCTCACTGAGCAATCCCACTCTGAGATTTTTATCCTATAGCTATGGTGATGTATATCCAAGACTATTCATATAGCAGTCTTTACAATATTGAAAATCAGCCATAAATAAACCATTGAACATAATGCAACATTGTGTAATTGGAGAAAAACTGAGAACACTGTCTATGGCCTGATACAAAAAACCTCCAAAATATATTAAATAAAAACAAAAACAAGATGCAGAACCTTATGTTATTCTGTTCTAATTTTTGTATAAGAAAGGGGGGAAATGGATAAGAATAAATACTTGTGTTTGCATAAAGAACTGAAATTTACGAGAGAAACTAATAAAAGTGATTTCTGTGGTAGCCATTGAGGGCAAGAAGGTAGGTAGAGACAAAGAAGGGCATTTATTTTTCACTGTACTTTTTTGGGACATATTCTTTATATTATGTATAAATATTATGAAGATAAATATGTTTTTATTCATTGTCATCTTTTCTCCTTATCTTTTTTTTTTTTAAGATTTTATTTATTTATTTGACAGACAGAAATCACAAGTAGACAGAGAGGCAGACAGAGAGAGAGAGGAGGAAGCAGGCTTCCCGCAGAGCAGAGAGCCCGATGCGGGGCTCGATCCCAGGACCCTGAGATCATGACCCAAGCCGAAGGCAGAGGCTTTAACCCACTGAGCCACCCAGGCGCCCCTCCCCTTATCTTTTTAAAGTTAGATTCTGTCCTTGGTCATCTTCTTCTAATTTGTACTTTTTTTTTTTTTTTTTTTGAGCACCCGTATCCATACCATGGCTTCAACATTTACTGACTCATGAGCAACAAGTCTGTTTCCACTATGGGCCAATCATTTTTTTTTTAATTATTATGGAAGCTATACATAAGATAAAATTTACCATTGGGGAGCCTGGATGGTTCAGTCGATTAAGTGTCTGCCTTTTGGCTCAGTTCATAATCCTGGAATCCTGGGATCAAGTCCCAGGTCAGGCTCCCTACTTAGTGGGGAGTCTGCTTCTCCTTCTGACCGTCCCCTCTCTCATGCTCTCTGACATTCCCTCACTCTCAAATAAATAAAATCTTTAAAAAAGAAAAGATAGAGGATGCCTGGGTGGCTCAGTCAGTTAAGCGGCTGCCTTCAGCTCGGGTTGTGATCCCAGTGTCCTGGAATCGAGTCCCACATCGGGCTCCTTGCTCAGCAGGGAGCCTGCTTCTCCCTCTGCCTCTGCCTGCCACTCTGTCTGCCTGTGCTTGCTCTCTCTTTCTCTTGGACAAATAAATAAATAAATCTTAAGAAAAGATGGGGTGCCTGGGTGGCTCAGTGGGTTAAAGCCTCTGCCTTTGGCTCCGGTCATGATCCCAGGGTCCTGGGATCGAGCCCTTCACCTGGCTCTCTGCTCATTGGGGAGCCTGCTCCCTCCCCCGCCACCCCCCGCCTACCTCTCTGCCTACTTGTGATCTCTGCCTGTCAAATAAATAAATAAAATCTTAAAAAAAAGACAAAATTTATCATTTTAACCCTTTTTAAATGTACAGTTCAGTGTCATTAGTACATTCTCATTATTGTGCAATCACCACCACTATCCATCTCTAGAAATTTTTCATCACCCTAAACTTAAAACTGTCCACCCTCCCTTCATCCTGTAACCATTATGCTACTTTCTGTCTCTATGAATTTGACTGTTTTAGGTAGTGCTCATGGAAGTGAAACCACACAATATTTTTGTGTGTCTGGATTATTTAACTTGGCATGCAATATTTTAATGGTTCATCCTTGTTATAGTCTATATCAGAATTTAATTCATTTTGGGCGCCTGGGTGGCTCAGTGGGTTAAAGCCTCTGCCTTCAGCTCAGGTCATGATCTCGGGGTCCTGAGATTGAGTCCCGCATCAGGCTCTCTGCTCAGCAGGGAGCCTGCTTCCCCCTCTCTCTGCCTGCCTCTCTGCCTGTTTGTGATCTCTCTCTCTCTGTTGAATAAATAAATAAAATCTTTAAAAAAAAAAGAATTCATTTTGAAGGCTGAATAATATTTCATTGTATATTTATACCACATTTTGTTTATCCATTTATCTGTTGAAGGACATTTGAGTTGTTTCCATCCTTTGGCTATTGTGAATAATGCTGCCGTGAACATGGCTGTAAAGATATGTCTTTGAAGCCCGGCTTTCAGTTTTTTGTGTGTATATCTAGAGGTAGAGATACTAGATCATGTGGTAATTAAGTTTTTAATTTTTGGGGGAGAAATTCTCATACTGTTTTCCTCAGTGGCTGCACCAATTTACATTCCCTCCAGCATTGCGTAAGGATTCTAATTTCTCCATATTTC